AATTTTAATCCTTCGTTTTGAGGCGATAAACTCATTCAAATCAAACACATTGCTACGTGACATTCTTTGGATATACAATGTATCTTTTTTAAAAGTGGCCATAGCAATTCCCATGTTAAATTTTATACTCCGTGTGAAGTGAATATGAAAAGCAATAATGTACGTATAGTTTTGGAAATTTCATTGTACCCTATAAAATTTTATTGGCAGTAACGATGGATAGTAGTACAAAAGGAAGAGATATTTACAAGTTAAGTTGTCGCGTGCCGGTAATTCCCAGATGTTAGAAAGCAGAATAATCCAGGTCCGGGCAGGGACCATCGTTACTCATGAACGGAAATGACCATTATTTTACTAGCTGCCAAATGTTCTCATACAAATTCGAGTGAACTGGTGTGATTGATTATTACAAAAATACAATTTCGACTTCACCTGTTGACACAAATGATCTCGATGTCCCTGTGGAATTTTCGCCCCCACAGTGCAGGGGTTGCAGGAGTGTTATTAATGCCGCTGCTTTTTACTTTATAGAGGTTATCACAAAACAAACTTCGCAAAATCTAATTTTATCATTTTTCAAAGAAGCAGGATTTGTAGGAAACAAACTTCGACCAATTTTTAATTTACCCACCCAAGTTTGTTCCACCTGATGTAAATTGACACATATCTACTGGTTGGAATCATATCAGCTAGTTGCACTTTTTCTCGTTATACAAATTACTTTGGGCAAAGTGAGGAAAATAAATCTAAATTCAGACAACAAATACATCTTTCCAGATCAATTAAAATTAAATTCAAAGAGCAATTTTCACTTTTCATTTTTTAAATATTACAACAAAATCACTAGTTTTAAAAAATACTCGCTTTTAAATGGGGTTAATAGCAATGTGCTTCCTAAAATTAACTAATTGATATTCAGAAAAACAGGAAACAAAATATAGTATATTGTTCAATGAGTGAGAAAACTGGTCAGTGCACGAGGATGAGAGTCATCCGAGTGGAATGACCAATTTCTCACGAGTTTAACACTATACTTTTTCTGCTCATATAATCAAGAAAATAATGACAAAAAAATTTACAATTATTTTTACCGTATGTGTCCAAACAGTCATGCTCATATAAATCCCGTACAACTGACAATCTGAATTTGTATCCACGCTATTGATTTTGACACTACGTAAAAGTGAGGTTGTATGGGATTTATGTAAGCATGCCTGTACATTGTGCGCATAACTTAGGTACAAATCGTTTCTATGACAAACTTTTAAAAACCCGTGGGTGTCTTTGAACGTGTTTTTTATTGGTGTCTCGGTACATATTGTAAGATCACTTTAAAAGCATACTAATAAAATTTAATGACATAATTAGGATTATTTGGTTGACCATGCCGAATCGGCTTTTCGCATTAGGGTCCTTGTAAACTTGTAAGCCATGTCGCGTGCCTACAGAATTTTCAGTGTTGTCCCAAGAAGACGGTCTTTGGCGGTCGTATCTGTATAATTTATTGTTTTAGAGTTTTTCAGGTTGGGTTCTTTCACTAAAGTTGTAAAATATTATTAGTATGTATTTAAAGTGATCTTTAGTATACAAGTATCTTGGTGGTGATAAAATTTTTGATTTTTCTGTTAAATTAGTATAATGGTAATTTCTACTATAACTGACTGTAACGAAGTCCAACAGATCTATATTGAAATCGTGAATTTGGTCAAACGTCTCTAACCCGGATAGAAACAAATCAACATTGAAACGTATAAAAAATTGATCCAAGGTTCTTTAGACAGAATTTCCCTCGCCCCGGAAGTACAGTCGAACAAGTACAGTTTCTTCGAAAAATTTATTATATTTGTTAGTTTATTTTGCGAATTTAATTTTTTTAATAATAACGAGATAACCGCTATAAGTTGTATAGCTTGTTATGGAACTGAAAGCAAAAAATTTAACTGGTATTAGAACTCATCAATATATGAAACTTAGTTATATAACATTTTTTCCAAAAGCCATATTTTTTGGCCTTTTTCTCCTTTCCGTTTTAACGAGCCGATCAATGTATAAAAAAAATCACTTTAGTTGACACAGACAGGTTTTTTGGTTAAACACTACTGAGTGTGTTGTGGTTTGATTACAAACGTGCAGTTGGCAAGGAATTCTCACCACATTCGCGTAGTTTTCCCAGTGCAAAAGGTGGTACAATGGTTTATACCATCATAGAATACACGGATATGATGCTTTGGACAATGTCCGGGAGGCGAGACGTCTGTACAGTGTCGGTTGTCCAAACCGACATTTTCCAGCTGGAACACGTTTACTGTAGCAGTTTAACACCTACGTGATTTCAGGAAATTTCAGACCCCCGATCAGAATTTACACATAGGCCGGTAGCAATTTTTATAGTCCATATACATATTTTAAATTTAGATTCTTGAATAGAGTTTTAAATAAAATGTTATATAGAAAAGTTTAGACCTTTTCCATAACACCTTATATCTACATGTATACTCAAAGTTTCTGGAAAATGAGGTGAGCTGTTCTTGATTTCACCACTAAAATAAATTGTCTTATTCATTATTTTTTTAGACATCCGACATAAGCAATTCTAAAAAATAACAATGCATTGATAAAACAAGTATAGGCTCATATTATAGATAGGATTTATTCGGCAAAATTTTGAGATGACGTCATGAATTTTTTGGGAGGTATCGATTTACTATGCATGCTTAACATAACCTTAATAAAACGTTTGCAAGATTTCAGAGAATTTGTTTTTGCAGTGTCAAAGTTAAATTGTAGAATGCTGTTATAAAGTTGCGACCATCTTTCCAAAAATCTGGATGTTATGTTATTTTATAAAATTTAAATATTTGTTATGAACAATTTTGTAATGAATTTGACAACAATTGATCGACTAGTTTCGAAGATTATCCCTCTAATAAAAGTCGACACGGACGGCAGACCACAGACGACGGACGCAGACTGACAGATGGAAACGAAAGATCTACTTTTTCGTACTGTAGGGGTCATGAAACGTCGAGAAAACATGAAAAGAGGATGGATATCCTATTACAACACTTCCTCAGCTTACACTCCGGAAGTAAAAATGACTTGAGATGGCAATCTTTCGGAGTGAAAAATGAAAAATTGGCTTTCATAAGAGTAACGGAAATTGACCCGATCTAAATGTAGTGACTCCCTCAACCTCAAATCCTTTAAATCTATTGACTTCCGGCTACACAGAGTTAAGCTTTATTTGTTTCTATAGTCTTTTAGTTTTTTAAATTATGTAAGGTTATGTGCCCCCTCTAAACCTAGTAATGCGGAATAATCCTTTTGTGTTATTGGTCCCCGGCCGAGTCTATCGTCATAAATAAAGGTTTTATACCAACAACTTGCTAAAGGGCGTAGATATGACTTTGACCATAGAAAAATGCGAGGAAAAATGGTTCAGCTATATTGGTTATTTCTATCTACAGACCTTTTTCCAGAACAGTTAAGACCACCAGGTTTTTATTTATGTACGAAAGTAACGTATAGATTTCAAAAACAAAACTGTGTAATATAATATGATAATACACTGTATTTTTATACCAATGTAGACTCTGATTTGCCCAAATAATTGAGTTTTTGAAAAGTAACACATTATCTTGAAACCGTCTCTGGAACGAATAATGGACGGGAGCAGGGTACCGTCGAAAAATTTACAATTGTGGTTTTGCCTTATTAACTTCTCCATTATGATTCACAATACCCTAATTTTATAACCCTGTCGAATTTGGAAAATATACTGTGTTCACTGTGCTGTAAATTATTGAAAAGTAAAGTAGTAAATACCAAAGTATAACTCTTTTATATATTTTCATAAGCTGATGGAAGTTTAGCTTGTTCAAATTAAACCATGGCACGAAGTCTGCACTTCTGATCCACTAATTTACATTAGCATTTTTAATGCAGATGCCATATTAATCATCCTTGAATTTTGTGAATTTATAAAAAATTTATAAACATTAGTTTAGCAAACAAAAATGAGGATTATAAGTTCTTTTCAGCAATTCGAATCCTTCCGAAGCTGACGTGTAATCAATTTTAATTTTATTCCTGCAGTTGATATACCGATTACTGTATGTAGAAAAGCTTTGATGGGTTGACAATGGGGAAGTACCTACCACAAAAGACACAATGTTGTAAATCTTGAATAACATGTATGTATTACCCTAGCAGATTAAACATTATTGATAAAGCAGGAATTTATATTTCACTATAAAAAATACTCATTTTAAAATATTTGTGTCATGGCTACATTATTGTTATTATTGATTTAGAAGGGATTAAAGCATGGGATTAAATATCCTCTTTTAAAAGTAGTTGTAATAGGTAGTAGAACAACAGCAACTTGGAACGTGGCTATTGTGCTACGTGGGTATTTATCGAGATAGTGTTAACGGTAGCTTGCAGGCAATTTCTTAAAGTATAAATAAAGTAAAAAATATCCCAACTATTCTTCTGTAATACCTACTATACTCATGGGAATATTGATTTATGAAGTTACATAAGCATCCAAGTTCATAACGAGTTAGGCATATATTAACATTATTGTTATGGTCTTTTATTATTAATAATTAATCATCCTATTCTTGCAGAAAAACAAAATTCTTAGTTTTTTTAATGGAATTTTTGGAAAGTCCGTGTAAAATTTGTTTTAATCAAATATCTGTATCTGTAGTGATTTGTGAATGCTTGCCAAATTATACCCGGATACAGAAAGTAAAAGTGATATTGTGTAGTAGTCTTATTCACTTTACGTTTGTTTAAATAAATTTGCAACATACCTAATCCTTTTCCAGTACACTTTTTACTAAAAATTCACACACTGAAGAATCAATCACTTTTAATTTATCCAATTTGTCTTATGTCCAACTTACGTAGTGAAATTACTAATACATTCATTCACACCGAAACCAACACCATAACCATACGGAACTTATTAGGCGTATAGTGGCTGCACTAACCTTAAATCTTAGTACTTGTCCTTGGTCGGAGGTTTTCAAGATAATTGCTGCTACTGCTGTTCAGTGCTAAAAATTCGAAGTGAAAGTTACGTTAACCATTCTAGTTCAGTACGGAAGGGAATAAGTGCCTTTCACCATAAACTGTTACAAGAAGTCACACTTCTAGGTTATGTTTTTGATGAGATTCGTTTTAGAATAAAAGAGCATTAGAAAGTTGTTTTATATTTTCCGTTTGTAATTATCATTTTAAGGAATCTTTAATTGAAAACCAATGTACATGAAATTATACAATACTGCAGAAATCACAGTGCAGAAACTAACAAAACTCCTTCGAATAATTTGACATTTCCAGTTTCTCATTGATTATCCTGTATCCTGTCATGTGGTTTTGGGGATTTTTGATTCTAAAATTGTTAAATGTCTAATGTGGTCTAATCTTGCAACACACTAATCAAGGAATGTTTTATGTCTAATAAAAACATATTAATACATGCACCACAACAGATATCTATTTCAGCAGCGCTCGAGCTAATATTCTCTTGTACATTCAAGGTCAATCAAGATCATTGAAATACGGAACTGACTTTCCACCGAGAGAACTTACGAATGTTCAAAACTGGTTCAAAACTAATTTGAAGTACACAAGTTGATAAAAGACTGGACACAAGGATCCGGATTGGTCCGGATATCTGCTGTGCAAATTTAAAAGTTAAAACTTATGTTCTTACCAACCTAAAGATCAAGTCCTAGAATTAGATGTTCTTTTACTTCCTTTTATTAGTCGACTGTCCAGTTTAAAAACTTTATTGCACATACAATGTTAGGATTTCAAACACTGTTTACATGTTTGCGATTTGGTTTCATAATCTGTCATTTTAAGCACATTGATCTCTATTCTCTATGCTGTGATTAAAATATCTTTAATGTTGGATGTAGGCACCCAAATATACTGAAGTGTATTGTAACTGAAGGGTGCACACATTCGTTTTTGCAGTTTATTATTACATTTTTATTAGTGGTTTATCGCAAAATGTGGCACATTCATAGCTTTTTTAGTCACTACATAGACATCGTGCTACAGTTAAAAATACTGAATTATAAGACAAAGAGTTCTCAAGATGAAAATGGAACACATTTATTACAATCTCATATTTAAAAAAAAATAACACTTTCTGCACTATTTTTTCAGATTTAATATTAAAGTCAAATAAAATAAAAATATTACCAAATTTTAAATTTCAGTTAGAATACATCACTAACGTTGATCACATCTGGTGAATTTCGTTCCTGTGAAACATCCATTTCGATTTCATCTTCCTCTTCTTCATCATGGCTTTCTGATTCTTCATCATCATCATTATCGTCTTCATCCTCTTCATCATCTTCTTCATCTAAAGCCTGTTAAACATTGAGTAATTACAATTTTTTTTACAGAGTAATGTTTTAATGGACATACCTCACAAATTGTTTTACCAATGGGTGTAACATCACTGTCCCGTTGTGAAATGGATTGCAACTGCAACAAATATAAATTAAATTACAAATAACCGAAACTATGTTCATTACTACCCATGCTTGATGTTGTGCTTCTAGTTGGGACACTTCTTCTTCATCATCACAAGGTTGATCAACATCAAACCACGATGGATCTATGGATTTTGGTTTTAGTCTTGGGAACAGAGGTGGTACACTCATTTTTGTAGAAAATATATTTGTTCAGTGTAGCTAAAGCAATTGAGTAAATACAAGCATCAGGAAAACAAGTGGATAGTCTCCCCGTTCACATTTTTTTTAATTCGGCAAACGAAACAATTTAAACTTATTTTTTTGTAGTACTTTTCAATAGTAAATCCCAGTACTAAACCACAATTTAAATCAATTTTCGTAACACAGCAATCAGAAATTTAACCAACAGAGTCCAATTCAGTATCAAATTTATTATTATTTATACTAATTCATCAGTGTCAGTACTGTCAAGTGTCAAAGCATCAAAATGTCAAATCTTATTGTTCAATGAAACCATGAAAAATGAAATTTCCTAGACTTGATAAAAATTTGTTGTTTAAAATTATTTGCTTCTGTATAGAGTTATTTAAGTTATAATTTCTATTTATGGGACTTTGGAACTTTTCAACGTCTATGGCTCAAACCATGGTACATACAAGACTGCAAGAAGACACGGCCCAAACCCCCGAACACTGCCGCTGCCCAAACTGCATAAAAGAAGATCACCGAAGTTGAGTTGGCAGCATTTCTGATTTTAAATGAAATTATGGCATGTGAAAAGCGCATCTAATTATTATTATGTTATTATTAGTAAACTGATCAGCTAATTATTTGCAGTCTAACAGTGGTGATGCTTAATTTGTAAGGGAATGAGCAAACTATAGTACATATAATTGTTTAATGTCGGGTTTGTCCATACAATGGCTACTTGGTCAAGATCGATTATACAACAAGACCGAGTTCAATCTCTTATGAGTAACTTTTGCTACTATTCCAAATCTAATATACTTTGTGTTTCTTTTGCCTAAATCACCTTGCAGCACAAAATTAAAACTTCTCACTCACAGAGTTTTAAAACATTTTACAATGGAAGACAAATAGGTTTTGAATTAAAACTAACAAAAAAGTACTTTATTAATCTTATCAATTAATGTTAATAATTAGATCTTTCTGTGCATCAATACTTGGTATTAAATTATGGTGTACGGGTCGTAGATTTGCCCCAACTGCTGCAGTTTTTTGTTGTGCGGCACCTGCCAAGATCATACACATTGCACCTTGTAATTGACTTAGGTCATTGGCTATTGCCGTTTCCTCCTTGAGTAATTGTGTTAAGCTTAACAATAGCTTTGCAATCTCGGGATCCATTATTAGTGGACTATCTTCAAAAGTGTCAACAAATATGTTTGCAGCATCAATTAACACTTTAGCAAAACGAGGTTCTGTTATATTTCGAATGAAAAAACGTAAAATCTGGGCCACTGACTTTTGCTCCCGTCCCGTGAACGCCTTTTGCAAAGCTCTTCTCTTTATTAGTTCATGTATTAAACTCACTGTTACTTGCGGGGTTTTATTTGCGACATATGGTAATAAAACACTGTCTAAAGCTTTAGAAAATTCAAATTTTCTTAAGCATTTGTCATGTTTTGTTTCTTTTTCATGATTTAAACAAGGAGTGACGCTGTCAACAGTTGGTTGAAATGATTTCGAAGGATGCTTCCATGATATTGTCTTTTTGTCATCTTTTTTCACTTTTACTGTTTCTTCTCTCCGACTAACTGCTACCACACCATCGATAAGACCAACAGCAAGAATGTCATTATTTTGTGAAATATCCATGCTTAATATAGCATTCTGATAATTTAAGGAATGTAAAACTTTGAAGTTGCTAATATCATAGACTTTTACATGTCGATCTAAGCTCCCAGATAATAACCTTTTATTATCACAAGCTAATTTTAAGCTAGTGATGGTTTTATGATGTTGGGATATGCTTTTTAACAATCTGCCACCAGCGGTAACATCCCATACTTTAATTTCTGTTCCTCCAGCTGATAAAAACACATTGGCACTTGGCAAAAATAAGACACATTCCACAGGACTCCCATGATTTACACTTAACACTTTCTGATTTGTTCTTGTATCATACATGTTAACAAAATGATCATAGCTTCCAGACAATACCAAATCTGGAATAATACTGTTAGTGGCTCCAGCCCTAATATAATCACTATGGTCAGAATATGACAAAATGTTTTTTTCAGTTGGAATGTCCCATATTTTAAAGCTTTTGTCATCAGAAAAAGAAACAATCTGTGGTCTACTTTCAACAAAATAAGTCCTGTGAACAGGTGCACTGTGGCCCTTAAATAGCCTAAAAATTTTATATCAGAATAACAGTACACAAATTATAGATTCAATACCTTAAAAGGTTCTTAGTTGACACATCAAATAACTTAACATGTGTTTCTTCACTTCCAGCACATAATAATCGTCCATCTGATCGGAATACAGCACCATAAGCATTTTCTCTAAATCGTGATAAATTTTTTGCTACTAATTTTGTAATGGGATTATACACTTGCACACGAACGGAGCATGTTACTGCAAAGAAGTATGGTTCGACTGGGGAAAAGTTTATATAGTCAACGGTACCAAATTCCTTTACTAAAACTGGAGTCTAAAAAATAATAGGTGTATTTAATGAAAAAGTGGCCTAGAATACATACCCCCAGTTGTTTCCAGTATATAGAATCTGGAGTAATTACTGATGTAGTCTTTTCATATATCTTCGAATTTAATTTCTTAAACGAACCCATATTTGCATATTCTTATTTTGCACGTGGTAGAATATTTGGATATTTTCGTAAATTATTTTTTATTTGACATTTGTGTCACTGCTCATGCTCAGTTTTGTTTGGAGAGGGAGTATTGAGAGCGTTTCTATTGGTATTTCTTCCCCCCACCTTTTGTTTTATTTTTGATAGTTGACAAGCAACAGACATTTTAATTGCAATTATAGTTTTTGAATCACCATTGTATTTGTTTAAGTTTAATTTCATTTATTTAACATACAGACAGTAAAAAGTCGATGAAAAAGTGAACGTCAATTTGAATTTTGTCATATTTTTGATAGGTTAACTGTGGACAGGAAATAGTGACAGGTGACAGCATTTTGACAGTGACAGATATGCTTTTCTGACAGAATAATGGAACAGCACCCAGCACCACAGCAGTTTGTTTACTGTCAAATTGGTGGTCTGTGTTCATATTGTCGTGCTTATTTCTCGAAAAGATCAGAGTTTTTAATTTAAAAAGTTATTTTTGTTAATAAAACGTGTTATGTTTTATTCATAATAGGATAATTTGACTCTGTTAAAACACAAGTTACACTAACCATGTCTAAAACTAGGATGATTCCCATTTATGGGAAAACTCCAGCTTGTTCTATTACTTCACGATTGGAAGAACGTAGAAATAGGGCTAAAGCAACGAGACTAGAACAAAATCGTCGAACTGATAAACCAGAAGACTTTATTGCATATGAAGATAGTGACAGTGATGAAGAACCAGTGGCAATGCAAAAAGAGATATTAAATACCTCGTATAACTTTGTAGACTATGTTAAAAGTAGGGAAATGTGTAGTAAAAACACGACTTCTGTTGTAAGTGACTACGGTTCTCGACATATCCTCACCCATGAAATGTTTCGAGAAACACCTATCACGCTTGGCAATATGAATAAAGTGTTCTGTTCACAGTGGTTAAGTGATAGACAAGTTGTATTTGGTACAAAATGTAACAAGGTAAGAGGGTGTAAATGTTATCAGGTTATCACATATAAAAATAAACGATTTTAGCTAATGGTGTATAATGTAGTCACTCATAAATTAGATCAAATTCCTTCTTTAATGAGTCGAAGGGATAATCCAGGTACTATTGAACAAGCACACTGTGGTATTCATTCGGTACAAATAAATCCCTCTCGAACTCTTTTGGCGACTGGCGCTCGAAATACTTGTGATATAGCTGTCTATCGATTGCCAACTTTAGATCCTGTGTGTGTAGGAGAAAATGCTCATAAGGATTGGGTGTTTGATATGTGTTGGTTAGATGATGAATTTCTTGTTTCTGGATCTCGAGATACAAAAATGGCACTTTGGCGAATAACACCAGGCATGTTTGAAAACAAAACTGACGTCCCCATGTACCAACACATTAGTGCTATTTCTGTAAAAGATTGCCGCAATTCACAAAGGGTAAGTTTTTTTAACTTTTTATTGCTTATATAAATAATGTGTTTAGGTGAGGGCATTAACATTCAATAAGTCCTATGAAGAAATTGCTGCACTTAGTTTAAATGGTTATATACATATTTGGAATGCTGAAACATTTAAACAGAAACTATCAAGGAAGTTGCCATCCTCACAAGAAAATGTTTGTTTGGCAGTGCAAGAATCAGGATTGTATGCAATAGGATGCAGATCATATACACTCCTTTTAGATTGTCGAACTTTACAGGTAAATAAATCAATGATTTAGAACTTTGCATCAGATTGTCTAGAAAACTTGTAAGATTTTATTATAATGTAAAATAAGGATCAGAATTGTAGTATAGCGTCCATCATAAGACGAGATTAAACTTTTGTTTTCATAAATGTAGAATTGGAAAAAAAATTCAAACTATTGAATAAATCTCATATTTTCTGTAAAATCTAGCCTTGTTGAAACTTCAATTTTTAAATTTTCTTAAAATGATTTCATGCAATAAAGGGGAAATTGAGACAGCATTTTTGAGATTCATAATTGCAGTAAGATTTTTCAGAAATTACATTGTACGCAAATGGGTCAGGAGATACTTATATTTATCAATCTAATTTCGTATAAATAATTTTTAAAACATCAGCAAAAAGTCATGAAATTGTACTGAAGCGTACTAGAAAAATACTTGTTATTCTTGGGTCTTCTTATTCTTCGCGTTCGCGAATTGATGAATTTTATAACAAAAAAATAGTTGCAAATAAAAAAGATAAGCAGTAATGAAATTAATAAATAGGAAGATTAGTGGCGGTTATTTAAGAATAAGTATACTATAAACTCATATTAGGAATTTGTCAAAATGCCGTCATGTCAACGTTGGAATTTAAGTTGTAAAGTTAATTTTTCAAAAATGACAAAAAATGAAAATTGATTTGACGGTTACTTTCAAGTCATACTTTGAGTTTTGAACACCGCTTTCATAACATTGAGATAAGAAGTCAAATCCACCATTGAGTTTGAAAATAGTCCATGTACTTTATATTTATGTTCACATGTATATTTAAAGAACGCAGGGAGACTTTGAACATTTCTTGAAGTACGACATAATGCATAATTTACTAATGAAGTGCTCAAATGCATTAAATAGTTCTTATTTGAAAATGTATTACTTAAGAAAATTATTCCAAAAGTTGTATTTAATTGTTCAACGAATGATGTCTACTTTAAAACATCGTGGATTCCCGTTATAGATATAAAGACATAATAAAGTTTTAAACACATTCATCAAAATTATTATTTTAGTAAATATTCCAATATTTCTCGTAACTATTGTTGAGGTAAAAGGGACCAATTAATTAATAATTTAATTCACCATTTAATCGTGAATAGTAAGTAATTTCTTCCACAGTTTGTACTTCATGTAGATCAGGCGTCAGTCTAATAAAAGCTTGTAAAAGAATGAAACATGTTAGAAAATCCTGTAGCAAAAGAACGTTTATGATATTGCAAAAAAGGTAGGGCATATAATAGATGGATTTGCTTAATATTTTAAAAATCCTATCCACTTACTGTAATCCTGAGGAAAAAAATTTTACCAACAGTGTTATATTCTAGGCTGTCAAAAAGGTGTCATCCCGTTATTCTGGCTGTGGAATCCGATCGGCTAGTTTCCAAGGAGACGTTTTGACTGTTGGTACAGGCTTGGGCATGTTAATGTTTTATGATTTAAAGGCTGGAAAATATTTGGATTCCAGTATTAATTCCTCGAGGACGGTCGTACTTAAATCTAGTAAAGGTTATGTGGTAAGTTAAATGTATCTGATACAACATCTTTTAAAAATGTTGAATTAGTTTCCAGATGATGAATATGTAGATAACATACAAAATGTAAAATATGTCCCAGCCATTTATACTCACTGTTATGACACGAGTGGCACTAGATTGTTTACAGCTGGAGGTCCTCTGCCTGCTACTTTAACAGGAAATTACGCAGGTCTATGGCAATAGCTTTAAGGGCTACAATAAAATGGAGACAATTTAAATTTGACATAAAAGTACTTTTATTGTATGTATAGTTTAGAAACAACACAAGTGTTGCTCGAAATAATTGTGCAATACATTCCTTCATTTATTTATCTTAATTTAATGTATAAAAGAGAAAAACTAGTCTATGTTACAAACTGTACATACAATATAAGCAGAATTGATTTGTATTTGTGATATTAATTTTAATTAATAAAAAGGTGGCAGATTTTTGGCTTATTTCAATAATTTCAGATAAATCTTTCAGTGAACAACTTCTTACTATGAAAAGAACTGTATTGACTTACTCATACAACCAAACATTAGCAAAAGGGTTTATAGAAATTTGTGAAACCCTCTGCTTTACATTTTGGAACATTTAAAGTATTTATATCTTATCAAAGATCTTCGTAATTAACAAAGTTTTTACAATTTTTGGACATATAAGGGTAAACTACAATGCTACATAAACAGTTTTTAAGTTATTGTTTACAATTATTGTATCCGATGTTAATATTGTCTAATTACAAGTATTGTTTTTAGAATAAATATTAATTTTAGTATTTGGCACATTGTGACTAATAATTTATTACATTACCGCTGAGATCAGATATTAAATCACAACATTGTTAAGTAATTGAAATTGGTAAAAAAAATCGGCTTAAGAAAAATATGACATAGGTATATGTAGGTAGCACATCATATTTAGTCTTAATACAAAAGTAACAAATACAGTAAAATCAAACAATTTCGTATTTCATCGTTGCATTTTGTTTCGATTTTGTTTTTTTTAAGTTTTTTTTTCTTTTTTTCACAAGGCTAAGTCCTCAGACCCGTATTTGATATGTATGTTTTACCAAATTACGAGCACGATTTATTTAACCTCTCGTAACATTAAGCGTAAACATAGTGGTAGTGATTTTTTGAACAATTATATAAATAAATACAAAGAAAAATAAACAAAACGTTTTATGATCGAAGGAATCTTTTTTTTTTTTAAACTATAACGAGTTTTTACAAATGTTTCATTATAGCATAAATTTTCAACTTGAGTCATAAAACGAAACAGGTAAGCAAACTAATCACAAAAAAATAGGCAAAGAACAAACATCCCCAAATTAATCTTGTATATGAAAAACTTAAGGCAACTTCCCTAGAATAAAATGAAAGATGTAATACATTGTATTGGATCACAAACAAATAAGAAATCCTATTCGTTTGTTCAACAATATGGAATGTACAAGGCCACTATTGCCACAAGATCTCGACAAGAAAGCTGCTTCACTTTAATTTTAAGATCATCTTTGATCGTTCAAATGTATGGGAAGTATCTGATTTAATACCTTATTGCACGCAAGTTCTTTGTAAGACGCTATAATGACTTGCTTGATATGTTTAAAAATTTCTACATCAAACACAGATCTTGCAGTGTTTGATAAATCAAATGGTTCTTCAATGCATAAAAACTTCCACTGGTGAGGATCGTTTTTGGGGCTTTTTGCCTGTTTACATAAATCAACTGGTAAACGTGAACCGGTTCGTACTGAAATGGCATAATGTTGATAGTTAAAATATGAATAATAATGAAAAAAGCCGATTAATAAATCACCGAGACATCTCGTGTTTTCAGATTCATAATCTTTTAATCCTTCGATTTCTCCTTGGACGTCCATGGTACGGTTTTCCTGTGAGTTGAATTCTTCAGGATAAAGGTTGTGTAGGCAGGGCAGTACTGGAGGGAAGACGCCACCTAATTAATAGTAATAATGGTACTTATCATGATATTACATTAGACGGTTAGATCATGATTTTAAAAGTTAATAGAATTTAGTCAAGTCCAAGACTAAAAAAATGTCAATGAAGTCAATTTATTATGGCTCTTGACGTACATTTCTCGGAATATGCTAGAGAAAAGGTATCGTGGTGCTCGCTACCACTAAATCGTTTTTCAGAGAATTGCAAAATTTTGTCATTGAAGTATTTTTTAGGGTAACTCACTTATGAAACGTTAAAAGTAGGACGCATTATGTTAAACCACATTTAAAAGAGCATATCGTACTGCACATTTCAAGTGAAATTACTTTTCAAAATCAGTTTCTAGATGACAAAATAAAAAAAAAAAAAAGGTTATCGTTTTACCATTTTCACGAAAATCTTAAAATACACTTTTCTAAAGTTCAAAGTAATCGGTTCCGTAGTTACGAATATATGTATTTTTTTTTTATTTTCAAGAGAAAGAATAGATGAAATTAGGTACCTCACCTACATTTTCAAGTGTAAACTAAAAATAAAATTGGAAGCCCCTATCATAATACCTCTTATAGCAGTGGTTTTACAAGTAATCTAGTTTTTAATGTAGATCAAAAATAAGGCAAACTCAAAATTACTTATAGTGACAAATGTAACCGACGCCACTAACGATCAAGTTTCAAGCCAGTTTGTGCAGTCGGTGATGACTCACCTATGCTATTTTCAGATTGTGCGGGGTCTAATAACGGCATTGTACTCTCAAAATTTCGGGAAAATGGGGTGAGCTGTTCTTGATTTGATAAAAAAAAATTTGATTCATTCGTTAATTTTTTTCGCTCTGTCTACGTAATTCTAAAAATATGAATTCATTGAGCAGCAAAATTTTGATATAACGTCATCAATTTTTGAGGGAGATGTACAGATAAATTTGATTAACGATTTATCATGTTAGCGGTAACCTTAAAACAACGTTTGCAAGATTTGAAAGCATTTGGTTATGCAGTTTTCAATTAAACTGTAAAATGTTATACAATTTTGACTTTTTTTTTAATTTAGATATATAGAGTAAAAGAAAAGAGAAAAATCAACGCGGATTCATAAATCACAAACAGAGAAGTATAAAATTAATACCATTTACTATGGAAAATTTTGAGATGACGCCATCAAATTGTTGATGGGGATGACAGACAAATTCTGGTTAGCGGTTTACCGTCTATACGATATTCCTAAAATACATAACAATCACTCCAGCAGTTTAAGAGTTTTTTCGTCTAATAAAATCTGCAACAGATGACAGACAACAAGCAGACAGACGGAAACAGGAGATCTATTTTTTCATATTCTAGGAGTCTTGAAACGTTAAGAAAACATGAAAGCAACCGTTCGCCGGATGGACCCCATTACAATACTAGCTTACGCTGTTTTTATTCCACTCATACTCGATGCCAAGCTTGATACAAATGGCTCTAAAGATGTGGTAGAGATTTGAAATATTGACGCATTTACATTACACACAAAATATGGTTTTATAACATGGGACAAAAAAGCTTACATTGTAGGAAATGGATCACCATTAAAGTCCAAGAGTAGCTAGAAATTGTCATGTTCTTGGCGTCATTTATGTTATTAGCTTGTGCCCAAATTTTCACTATAACTACTAAAGGTCGAACTCGCCAATCCAATTGGGCGTACGAATACAACAGGCGCGTATTCTGAATGCCGACAATGTTATTACAGTTCAAATCTACTTTGAAGCCAGTGTCTTTGTTTTTAAATTTTAAAATTGGTACCTTCGCCATTACCAGTTCTGCTTCACTTGCCAGACCTACAATAAAGGCTGTGTTAGAATTATTATAGTATACAATTGCTGCTAATAACTAAAGTAACATTACAAGTATAAGTTTGTACATATTAATATAAGACGTAGGTATGTGTTATCGACGACGTTTCTAAATAGTTGTGGACATAAGAACATATTTGATGTGCTTCGAGCCGTTAATAAATGACTTCCTACCGCCGATGATTCGAATTAATTAATCACTGAAGATACAAAAAAAAACACAAAAAATTTTATTAACATTTGCAACAAAGCGACAACAATCATTTAGGTTTAGTTTTATCAATGATATTCTAAATTTATTAGGAGAGTTTATTAGTCTTTTGTTCTTGTTTTGTTAATTGTTCATGCTCATTTATTATAATTAAAGTTGTAGAAGAAGTAGAATTACTGATAAGAGTGATAAGAACTGAATATTGCTACATTTATAAGAATAGAATTTTTTAGATGTTGAGCTCCAACATACATTGAAGTTCAAGAACAGCCATCCAACAAAATGAGCTGGTCCTAAGTTAAGTGTGACTTAATAGCCTGGTACAGAATGGCTAAAGTTGAAACTTTTCTTCGGAAAATTTAAAACTGAATAGTAAAAGGCCGTTTTACACATCACAGAATTACTCCGAAAATTACTACATACTAAAATTTGTTAGAAAGTTTGGAAGAAAAATATTCTACATTTTGATGATAAAGTGCGCAATAAATTGCGCAGACTTTTAAAACGTAAACAAATGGTCACGTTTTGAACTATCTAGTTGGCGGTATGTAGATGTCAAACGACGTCCGTCTCGCATCTATCAACCGGGTGAGCGCTTCTCGTCAACACACATCCAATAAGCAATCAATAAGCAAAGGATCAAGAGAACACACAACGAAATTCGAGCCTAAATGGGATGGTCCGTACGGCATCCTCGCCGCCAAAGGGCTCTGTAGCTACGAGTCGGTGTTAACCAGACTGATCAACCTCTCGGAATCTACCATGTTTCGATTCTCCGCCGAGCCCTTCGCCAATTCAACTTCCTCTTGGCAAGTGAGGCCGCCTCTTAAAAAAAAAATCTCCGGACCCAGGGAGTCAGAACCTTCGCCGAGACGCCCACCGATTCCAAAAAGGGAGAATTGTAACAGCCCTTATTTCGTTTGTGATATGTCCACCGGACCATCTACCATCACTATTCCCCAGACCCACAGTACCGCCAACGACCCACCATGGGCAGTGCTACATTGGTACGCGCCGTACCAACCCCTATATAAAGGCACATACCACCCGAAAAAAGCCAGAACCGAACTGCAGTAACACAGCACCTGTGTGACCACTCAGAAGTCAGGACCCAGCTGAAGAGGACAAAGTTCTGGTGCCTGAGCAGAAGATGGAGGAGGGGTTTTAGTGTGGTAAGCAATTTATTGCACTCCCACAGTACCCGTACATAAAACTAACACGGTGCGGTGGTCTACCCAAGGCATCCCCCTCCCCCACAAAAAAAAAAACGCTAGAGTAATTCAGTCTTTCTGACAACAACGGATGCTGTTCCTGGAAATCATTTTTAGAAATAAAAAAAAAGTTGAAGAGTCAAAATTTGCCACTAATAAATATTATAATATGTATTAATAATGGCAGCATATAGTATATTCGGATAATAGTTTATAATTCAAGGTATTATTGCATGCGTACTTATATGTATAATAATATACTATTATCGTACAGTAGTAGGTTTTGGGAGAGATTATACAACTGTTTTGCGAGAAAAAAATTCAATATTATTAGAAGTAATTTCACCACGAAAGGGTACAGGGGCGGGGCTTAAGTTGCGCGACTTGTAGTCGGGCTAGCAGTGGCGTAACATCGATGTATTGAGAAGGGAGGCTCGGCTGCCGCTGAGTTATATTTCTTTCAAAAACAATTAAGAATAGAGCAATTTCTACAAAAGAATACAGACAACCATTTAATAAAAATAAATTTATTTGTTTGGTAAAAAATAGGCTTACGTAACAATAAATTATTATAATGTATCATAAAAAATTTGGTATTTTTAATTCCTATTAAACGAGTTTATAATGTGAAGGATTATAGCATGAGTAAAAAATTTCACGAACCCCGCATTACGCTATTTTATAGTCGACTAAATCAATAGTTAAATCTTTAGATAAAGGCGGGGATAAAACCCTGAGAATTAACAACCCATGATTATAGTTACATGGTTTTTAATGTTCTGGCACAATTTGTCAATACTATATATAAAGTCGGATTACAATAAAGCTTAACGTTTTCTGTCTAACCTCGAAATAATAATCACAGTTCATATTTTAGCATAATTGTCGTTTATATAGCTTTGACTGTACACTGGACCGTAATTTATCAGTTGTTATTGCTCACTAAAAGTTACCTTCTTACTTCTTTTGCTTAGTTTTTTATTCAACTAATACATCATAATACAGCATTAACAAACCTTTAAATTCATTTTATATAATGTCAACGCTAATAAAATAGAAAATTGATATTTTTATTAACACCAATAATATTTTGATATTTCAAATTCGAAATATTCATCGCTGCTGCCACTGCTCTCACGATATTTGTAAGGTCAAATCAAAACAATGTTCTGCGCACTCCCACCAGCTGTACCCTTTCGTGATGAAACCTGCTCTAACAAGTGATGTAATTTAATGTAACTATGGATCACGGTACTAGAATACCAATACATCTTAAAACAATACGATTTTTTAGGTTAAATGAGTTGTCAATTTGGATTCCTCTTATTTTTACTTTTACATAAAAGCAGCTACTGCAAGATAAAACGTTGTACATCATACGTGAGCCAAATACCATTATAAACTCGTGAGCGCAGTATCATTTATCAGACTACTCGACCATAATAATGAATTTATTGTTGTTTGCAACTAATAACAGGAATTTTTATTGCAAAATTCAAGTTTTCTTATACAACAACTCAAGTGCACTAAGAATGGCCGTCACTTTTGTCATCAACTTCCAACTTGAGAACCGTATGGTTAGACCATTGGCGTAAATGTCAAATAGGGCGACTGTAGAGAGTACATACGCCTCTTATCACACCACCAAAATGATAAAGCACACAGGTTTGAGGTTATCGACGCTTGAACGAAGCTTAAACCCTCATTGTAAAACCGGGCCTAGGTGACGATTAAATTCACTGATTATCATCCGCTACTGATTCAAGACGATCCACGCGTCCCCACCTATAATCGTGACGTGCCCCACAGAAATCCGCTCTCTAATGATTAGTACTACTGCATATGTGCAGATTTAATTAATTACTAATAAACTAATTTTTTCACGTTCGTTAAAAAAAGTAGGTATAACATTTTTTATTAATTTTTGTTTATAGAGAATACGTTTGTTTCATCGCACTTGAAACCCGAAAAAAGTGGCATGGGGTTTAATTTTTTCACACATTTAAATGAAAAAATGTGTCGTAGTGTGTCATTTTTTAATGGAAGACATTTAAACGCAAAACATAGAAGCCTGCCGTTGCTATGACGATTCATCAACACATTTGTCACAAATTAAAATCCATCCAAAAATTTTGTAATTTAATCCTTATTTAAGTGCTTTGTATTAGTTTAGTTGTTTTTTTTTGTGGTAATTTAGTGCTCGCACAATGGAATCGGACAGCGATGAAGATTTCTGGTGCACCCCTGAAGAAATTGTTTAGACGGCAAGTACGGCTACATTTAATCTCTGTTCCAAAAAAAAAAGTTTTTGAAGTAGGTGGTTATTGAGTTTTGTTACGAACGTGAAAAAATTTTTGTATACAACTCGTGAGTAAAGTGACTCTTTCCTTCGGCTCGTGCGGCAAATTTTCCATCTCGTGAAAAAATGATACACTTTACTTATTAGCTGCATAAATAACTAATATTAACCTGAACTAATAATTATACTTTACAATATTGGATTTAATGTAAAATAAAGTATACTGTTGGATTTGATTCACACTAATGAACAGGTTTCAATAAGTGTATTGAAAAGAGGCAAATGCAAAATTTGTTATTTTTTAGTGGGAGAAATTGAAAAAGATGGTCGATATAACTTCCCTCACCCCTAAAGTACAATCGAACAAATACAGCTTAGAAGAAATATCAAATTTAATTTTGAGAATTTAGGTTTTTTGATGATCGACCCCATGTGAGCTAAAATTAATATATGTGTGGATTGTGAAAGTACCGGTAAAGAAGTATTGCATGCATGTTTTTAGTGAGTTTTTCCATATTATAATTTTTTGATGACGTCATCCACATTTTCGCTATTTGAACAGGCACTTTGCAATACTATTAATAACAGTACTATATCCTAAAATAAAAAAAAGGATCGACAATAAAACAAGTTCATTCATTAATTTTTTTGAATCACCTTGTACAAGCAATTCAAAAAAATATGAATGCATTGATAAACCTCGAGTAAAAGCTCTTAATATTGCGCATATTTTAGAATTATTCAGTAAAATTTTGATTAATGATTTATTATGCTTACGATAATCGTAAAACTGTTTGCAAGATTTCGGAGTATTCGGCTTTACAGTTTCAAAAGTAAATTGCAAAATGTTATTATTACAGTTTTGATTTTTTTTCCAAAAATCTGCATATCTAGGGAAATAAATAACTCAAGACGGAGTCATCAATCACACATGCAGGAGTATGTCATCAAAATTGTAAGATGACGTCATCAGTTTTTAGGGGGGTTGTAAACGGATAATTTTGATCAACGATTTACCATGTTTCCGATAACATTAAAACGTTTGCAAGGTTTCAGAGCATTCGGTTTTGTAATTCCAAAGTTAAATTGTAAAATGTTGTTATAAAATTTAGATTTTATTTACGAAAATTTGGATGCCTAAGGTAAACGTTCAACGCGGATTCATAAAATACAAATGGAGGGGTATGTTATTTCATAAAATTTAATATTAAAAAAGTTGGAGATGACGTCATATCATTGTTGGTGGGAATGATAAGACAAATATTTGGTTAGCGTTTTTTTACCACCTACTCGATATTCCTAATATATACATATAACAATCGGCCCGATTGATAGAAGGTTGTTTGTGTAATAAAAGACATGCGGACAGACGGAAACGAGAGACCTTTGTTTTAGTATTGTAAGGGTCATAAAACGTGGAGAAAATACAAAAGCGGCGAGTCGGGAACTAACAAAAATACTTTTTTTTGGTTTTTATATCCTAATGTGTGACTCGGGAAGTAGCTGTTAATTATTTTTTAATTACCTCATACTTTACCATTTTTATTTTCCGAGTGTAAGCTAAGGAAGTACAATAGTCGAGTCCATTGGAAGAATTGCCACTTTTATGTTTTCTCGACGTTTCATCACCCCTACAGTACGAAAAAAGTAGTCTCCCGTTTCTGTCTGTTTGTCTGTCTGTCTATCTGATTATCGTCTCTATTCATTTTTATTAGACACACAATCTCCGAAACTACTGAACCGATTGTTGTCAAATTTTGTATGTATATTAGAAATATCATGAAGATAGTAAACTCGGGTGCAATGTTGTAAACGGCGTTTGGATTCAGAGAGGTCGGTGCCGCAAATTTCACCGTATTGTGCCTCCGTTCTTGTTCTACTCTCCTCGAATACTTCATATTTACCCATTTGTCATCTTAATACTACCCTGAAAAATTTCGCAAAACCAAGCTTCAAAAATTATTAATTTAACTAGTGATCGTTATTTTATTAAATAACCATTCACTATTGACACATGGGGTATAAATTAGCAAAAAAAAAGAAGCCAATTAAACGCAGAATTAAATTAAATTTAATAAAATAACAGAAACAGAGCGACACTTTGAGAGACGTCTGTAAGAGTTAACGGAATTATTTTCGCGTGAAAACGTTTATTAATTGCCAAACTTATAATCAAATGATGAAAATCACTGTTTACAACAACAGCCTCCTTTATTGTTTTTTTTTTTTTTTTAAGAAAATATCGTACTTGGTCTGTTTCTGTTATTTTGTTGAATTAAATTTAATTCTGCGTTTAATTGTTTTCTTTTTTTTGCTAATTTGTACATCATGTGTCAATAGTGAATGATTCTTTAATAAAATAACGATCACTAGTTAAATTAATAATTTTTAAAGTGGTTTTGCGAAATTTTTCAGGGTGGCCGGTTTTTTGCCGGTCAGTGTATATAACAAAAAAAAAGTGTACACACTACAGAATGACTCATTCTTATTTTAAGATTTTGCAGATAATATACATATTCGTAAAACGTTTTAAAAAAGCTGTTGCATTTATGGTTTTCTGGAATCCTCCCTATTTACGCACCTGTTTTCCCAGTATTAAAGCAAGTAAGAACTGTACAGTGCAGCAAATTACAGGGTTGAATACCCACATTTCGCGTGATGACTGATCACTGATTAGTAGACAGCGGATTTCTGTCGGGCTACGTCACGATAATAGGTGGGGACGCGCTGGATCGCCGGGACTCAGTAGCGGGTGATCGATAATCACTAAATTTAATCGTCACTTATTCCATAAATACAATTAACGATTTATTAATCAAACGGTTAAGTAAATGAGAACGGAAATTAACAGCAGAGTGTAAAGAAGCAGCGTTATTCTAATCTCAAATAAAGTGTAGCCCGTAACTGCAATGAATTCCCATCCCGTACGAGCCGTACCGAGTTTGGCCTTGCCTAGCCCGACAGAAATCCGCTCTCTACTGATTAGTGATCACCACTGACCGGCGTAAAATATAGCTTGAGCAACGTTATACAGTCGCCCAAGTAAATGCGTCGCAGTGTATTCGCGTAATGTCGACCAGTATTGAAGCGATCAGCCATTAACATAATGATACGCCACGATGCAGTGGCTCTGTTTAAATTTACACAAATAATAATTACCCCAAAAATCGAATGTTGAGAACACAAGAAATCGACTCTGTCAAGAAAACAAGGTGATCCGCTGCTTTCGAGGCATACCATCTGATAAACCCAAACAAAGCCTTATAGCTAAACAAGTAGACATCGAAACCTGAATGGAAATAGCTGAAGCTACGCCGTCAACCGCCAAGCAGAGCCAACGGTTTTGCAGCGTGCCGAGCCGTCATTGAAAAGGTATATAGGTCGCCGGTCAGTGGTGATCACCGACTCTCACGTTTGAATGGCGTAACAATTTATTTTTACAATATTGATCTTTGCAATGCACTTAATGAACACTACCTGTCCGTAAATGTCAAATTGAAAGTTTTTGTTTTAGTTGATAAAATTACAGTAATTTTCACCACAATTAACATATATTTTATAATTCTGTAATCACTCTTTCATGCATTTTAAATTAAAGCTACTAAGACAAACAAGTACACAAGAAAGATTCAAATATTCCAAGAAAACTTCATAGATATATTGAGATGTAAGAATTTTTTATTTGAAGTATTAAGTATAAGTAATTTTAAATTTTGAAAGTTTTCTAGTTTTCTATCGCACACTACACGTGCAAAAAAAATTCCATACCAATTTTGTCAAATATAATTAACACAAGAATCTGTCTTCACAAAACAATGATGTGTAGATATGTGAAAGCGAATTAAATATTTAATCCTCGATTAATTTGACAGATGATTAAAATGTAGAATATGAGCCCGTGATTGGTTTACGAGGACTGTATGATAACTACCCGTGTTTGAGGACTGTGGGTACCACTGACCCAAAATTTGTATGCCATGGTCTAATGCCATCTTTCAAACGAGGCTTGTCAAAATTTCAGTCAAATTTGTCAAGTAGTTTTGTTACAGCACTTATTGAAACTTGACAATTTTGTTTTTTTTGCAAAAATGGAAAAAGAGCAGTATAGATCTGTGATTCGATTTCTTTTTTTGGATGGGAAAACGTGTGAAGAAATCAAAATCAAGTTGCAGGTAGTTTATAAGGACAAAGCACCTTCGATGACTACCATCAGATACTGGTTCAACGAATTCAAACGTGGCAGAACATCGGTTTTGGATGAAGAGCGCCCAGGTCGTCCGATTAAAGTAACTACTGAGGAAATGGTCAACAAAATCCACGATATTGTCTTAGCAGACCATCGGGTGAAGATCAGAAAGATTGCTGAGATTGCAAACATCTCAACCGAACGTGTGCACAACATTCTTCGAGAAAAACTGGGCATGAGAAAGCTATCGGCACGATGGGTGCCCCGTTTGCTCACAGTGGAGCAAAAACGGAATTGCGTTACAACTTCGGAACATTGCTTGAATATGTTTAAGCACAATTCGAAGGAGTTTCGAAGGCGTTACGTGAGTGTTGATGAAACGTGGATACACCACTAACTCCAGAGACCAAAGAACAGTCAAAACAAGGGACTCTTCCCGGCGAACGTGCTCCAAAGAAAGCGAAAACGGTTTCTTCGGTCGGAAAAGTTATGGATACTGTTTTTTGGGATTCGCATGGCATCATTTTCATAGACTATTTGTAAAATGGCAAAACAATCACGGGGCAGTATTATGCTAGCCTATTGAGCCGATTAGATGCTGAATTAAAAATAAAACGGCCCCATTTGTCGAAAAAAAAGTCGTGTTTCACCATGATAACGCACCGGCTCACACGTCTGCAATTGCCATGGCAAAACTGGTTGAATTACGCTATGAATTACTGCTGCAACCTCTCTATTCGCCAGATTTAGCACCCTATGACTTTTATCTATCTCCAAATCTAAAAAAATGGCTTGAAGGAAGGCGGTTTACTTCAAACGGCGAAGTAATCAATGAAACAGGCTTATTTTGCAGAGTTTGATAAATCATATTTTTTGAATGGGTTAAAAAAGTTAGAATATCGCTGGTCGAGGTGTATAGAGTTGAAAGGAGACTATGTTGAGAAATAAATATACAGAATTTAAAAAAAATGCTTTCTCTTTCTTAAAACGGGTACTTATCAAACAGTCCTCGTAAACATACACGTTGCATAGCAACGGACCTCATTTAAAAGTTAATCGCGATTAACTTTTAATTAGCTTTCCATATTAATAAAGTAAACCAATAAATGAAAATTTAAGTTTAGTGTAAAGCACGAAGTTTTGTATATAAAGAATAAATGTCTGACATACCACTCTTAAGAAGTCCTTGTTGAAGGTAGTTTAAATGATGTAGTGAATCTATTCGTGGTTCATGACTGTAGGGTTTTATTAAAAAGCATATATCAATATCACTTCCCTCTAGAGCAAAACCTGACATTGTCGATCCTACTAAGTACAGTCCACAGTTGTTGAGACACACCTAGAAATGGGACTGGATTTAAATGTATTGTCTGTGTCTTGATATTTGAATCTTGTAACAATTAACAGTTTTTTTTTTGTTTAATGTTCTCGTATTTCTCAACCTTTTCTCTATTGCTGAAAAAATATTTTTTTGTGAATTTACATGTTCTACATATGTTGAATTTAATGTGGCAATAAGCTGTTTTCTCTTTTTTTTTGCTTCATATAGCAGGCCAACCAATATAACCTATCAATTTTTTTTAACTGAAGTTGAAAAATAAACATACTTTATATTAATGAAATATTTACTGTTGCATTAATGTTTTTTTGTAAAATGGTCAAATCTTCTTTATTGGCTGGTGAGGTGATTGAGAAACACTGATATACACTACCTTAAAAAATAAAAAAACTTCTTTCCAGAAATTCAATTTGTTGATATATGTTTCTGCTCTTTGAATTTTGTTAATAAAAACATCCCATACTGCTTGATTAAGTGAATCCCATGGACCACCATTAAATAAAATTTGGGGAAGAGAATTAATTTTCATTTTATGAGCCCTTGATTTGAATCTTCTCATTAATCCATTAGCTTTTCTTTCAATTTCTTCTGAATTTTTAAGAAATTTTGTTCGTTGTCCCCCACGAAAATAGTACTTGCTGAAGCATTGTAATGTTTTTTACAGTCAAACCTATCATGACAATAATACCTGCTTTTCTGATAATAGTTGTTAGGTTGATACAAATTAGGCTGAAATACACAAGACCTCAAATAAGATTCACTTTGATCTTTTGCAGTATTTTTCTCTGTCATGGAACACTGAAACTTTGTTTCTGTAACAGTGGATTGGTAAATCCCATTTAATTTTAATGTCATCTTACCTTTACTTTCAGAAGTTTCCCTAGATGAATAAGAAATGCTGCTTTCATCACTATCATAACCATGAGGACAAATTCTCATACATGTAGTTGTTGTTTCGCAGCTGGTTATTGACGTGTTATTATTGCTGCATGTAATGACTGTTTGTGGAGCAAGTGCTGGTAAATTAAGTGAAATGTTCATTTCGACTCCTGATGAATCATTTACATAACCATAGACATCTGGACTCTCTCGAAACAAAGGACATTCCTGGGTTTCCTCAAAGTTGACAAAATTGTGTAAACTGAATTCTTTTTTTGGTAAACCATCATATCCTAGAGCTTCGTTGATGAGATTAATACTATTTTGGGGAGATACTGTATGAACTCCAGATGCCATTATACAGTGTTCTCAAATATTATTAAACTGTCCACTTACAACAATTGCAGCACATTCTATAAAATATACCATAATTCAAAATGGTTTTTACAAAGTTTTTTCAATGGCAAAAAAATGAAAATGGGGGTTAAAAACTTACTGATCTGGGAAACAACTACGAACAAGCCACTCACCTCTAGGGATTAAATTTTATTAACAATAACAAATTATTACCTTTGAAAACAATAACATAACAAATCAACACATCTTTTACAATTTATTTTCGACGATTGCCGCCAAACAACGCCTGCGCATTCATTTCTGGTTAATGTCAAATTTTCAGTAACTAAATACCAACTATCAGAGGTGCAAATCCCAATAATTTTAAAACTGTTTTTCTTTACCGTAGACAAAAATACTGTATTTATTACATTAGGAATAATTTACAAAATTATATATAATTCTGAAGTAACGATTTAATCAACTGCATTTTCTCTTTATGTCTTCTCTCCCTGCTTTCTTCTTTTTGTTTAAAGATCTCCCACATTACATCTGGCAGCTCCTTCTTCTTATTTTCTTCAACTACAGTAACTTTTTTTGATATATTAGGACCATTCGTATTTAATTGGGGACCCACAGAATTAATATATTGTTTTCCTTTATTAGATTTTTCTTTTTTTCTCCATTTTCTTAATATGGTTTTATATCTATTTTCACACTGAAATCCTGATTTATCAGCTTTTAGATCCCTTTGTATCTCATATGCAATGTGATTCCACAATTCTTTTTTTGTACGAAACTTTTTGTTATGTCCTGTATGGAGGATATATTTGTTATACTTTTTTAGTAGATACTTTGTTTCTTTATCACTCCATTCTGTAATCACAGTACTACTAATGTTAGAACGCCTTTCACTTTTTTCAGCACTTGTAATCATGTCAGACTGAGAAACTTTGTCAACACTGGGAGCTTCTTCTTTGCCACCTTAAAATAAATCATTACAGTTACAATTATATACATCTTTTTAAATATCATTTCTAATTTTTGTTGTTTTATTTGTATGTACCATTTGATAAATTGTTCAGTGTTAAGGAATTTAATTTAGCTTTTTCTTCCGAAGGGTCATCAACAGGTTCATCGTCACAGATTATCTCTATTAAGCTCATTTTTGAAAATTTTCTCTTTACGTTCCTCTTCTTCCTGACATGGAGTTGACAATTCCAGAATATGTCGACACGATTTGTGTTAATTACTTTTAGGCTAATATTATTTAACAAATAACTATTTGACGATTAAATTTTTTTTTTAAATGTTCTAACAACTTAATAATGTATACAAATTATTATGGCTTAATGTAGAAGTTAACAATGTGGGAAATAATTAACGAACATACATGGAACGGCTTGAAAAAGAGAACTGGAATCATGTGGAGTCATAACAGATGTTCAGAACTGAAAGCGCTGGAACATCCGCATCTGCCATAACCACACATGTCAGGGCACAGCACAGCTGTTAATGGCGCTAAATTCAAATTTTTCGAGGGTAATAAAATTTTTATTTCTTTCTCAGTTTACACAATAACATGCTTTTCGTAATATGGATATAATTTAAAATTTCCAAGTTTTTTACCATCTACATAATTGTAAGCATTGCAACAGTCAGTACATAAAAATACTTTATGCTGAGGTAATCTATTGCTACCAACACAAATCCACTTTGCAAAAGATACTGAGCACATGAAACACATTTTGTTGGCACTACGATTCAACTTTAATACATGAGGATAACATTCAGAGTGTAAACAATCACTAGAATCTAAAAGTCTTGCATCAGCAAAAACAAATAGATGTTCACAGTCACCTTGGTGCATGTATACATATGGGTACCCAAGTCTTGGTGTGAGATTGCTTATTGATACCTATTTTGTATTAGTGGTTTAGTTTAATGATGAGATATTGTGAAGACTTACCTCTTCCATACTTTTAGCTTGAAGATTTTTAATTTTCTTTTCCTTTGTTGCCCACTCCATAATGGGAAATGAATAATCAATTGCATTTGGATCTCGAAAATCATTGTAAAACACGTCATCAATAAATATAAATCCAGATGGATATATGCTCTAAATAATTTATGTTAAGTGTGTAATTTTGAAGTATTAAATACATACTTTAGCGTTAGCCAATGGCCTTAGGTCAGATGAAGTACTCTCTACTTCTTTACATAAACCAAAGTCTGCTGAACAAACGATAGCATCTCTTAACTCAGTCAAAGTATTCTGGCCTAAAACTAAAATTTCGTGGTTAAATCTTAGTTTTTCTGATGCGTTCTTGGCATTGAAAAATCTAAATGCCACTGGTCTATATATTAGTACGGATATTATAAATTCTGAACCTGGAGATAGATCTGGAGGTGTTGCTGGTATTGTAAACTGAAAAGTTATTATAAACTTTTTAAACATAGATTTACAATATTACTAACATCCAGTTTTTTATGATAATTCCTTTTATTTCCTAGACACAATTGCAGTGGATGTAACTGTGATTCTACCTCTAATAAACACTTATTGACCATTAAATTGTTGGTATCTCCAACAATAAATGATGACGGCAGCTTTGAAGTGGAGTTTATATGTTCTGGTAATTCCATAGGGAAATTTTTAGTGTCTTCGCCATCACAAGTCAGGTGAACAGGGCTAAAAGTTATGCATAATTATTAATCACATTAATTTAAATACCCAAGTCAATCACCTGCAAGTTTTTGATAAATATTTTATGTCAGTGTAAGGTATTTCTACATTCAACATTTTTTTAATTGCTAGAAGATATTCTGCTTCGTTAATTTCTCCATCAACATTAACTATAGGTAAAGTCTCAACACCTTTACTAAGTTTTTCAAAATATGTTTTCCAAAATAAGTGGCCTGAGGCACCATAGCTTTCAGGGGGATAAATTTCCTCCATTATTTTGTAATATCTTTGATTTTTTGTTTCATAAACGACTGCACCACAAAATACCGCAACAGCTCACAACTCCCCCAATTCGGCGAACAAAACCAAAACATTAACACGTGACAATCTTGCGCGCTTGTCGCACGTCAAATTTTTGACAGTTGCTTGTCATTCTGTGCTTGTCATTTGTCATCATAATAGGTTGTCTTTACAATAAAAAAGTGGAACAAGCAGTGTTTGATGGAAAGTCATTGTTACAACCTGAAAAGGAAACTGGGGTCATTTTTACTTTTGCAAATAATTCAGTGACGTGAATTTTGCTTGACATTTCTTTTGTGAATGTATTAAAGTGAAATGGCGGACTATTTTCAAGAAATGGGATGGCAACCTCTACAGGATGGTCAGGCTCCGAATCATCTTTTACATTTTGCTCGGTTGTTTCGGGATTATAATATTTTTGATGAATCACTAACGCAAAAACTTGCACCACCTGCTTCAAAAGCTGCTGTAGAAAACCTGTCTACAGTCACAGTGACTAACCAAGGTTTGTTTTTCTTTTTTTCTATGCTTCAACCTAATGTGGAATTATTCTTTTAGGTGTGAAATGCCCAGTTTGTTTAAAAGAATATGGACCAGGAGACGTCATAAAGCGGATGCCCTGTAATCATGAGTTTCATTCCGAGTGTATTTTACCATGGCTTGCAAAAGTATAGTTGTAAGAAATGTCACTGGTTACAATTGTTATAAAATTGTTTCGTAGACGAATTCATGCCCCTTGTGCAGATTTGAATTGCCAACTGATGATGAGGACTATGAAGCCTTTAGAAAAGAAAAAATACGAGCTAAAAAAAGAGAAGCTGAACTTGAAACATTGCATAATTCTATGTTTTCTTGACTTTTATTAAATATATAGTGGACGTTTCTGTTGAACACATGATGTAAATCCCGTTTTCATTGATCAAGTGTGTAAATTATAACAATTTTACTATTTGACTATAGTTATTGACACTCAAGTTATAATTCCAAGTGCAATAATTTAACTGAGAGGGACAGTTTTAAGTTTTAAAAGTTTGCTTGCTTACGAGTACATGACCGAAATTTTAAAATTTGCCAATCTGCAAAAATGAATCAGCAGAATAACGTTTATATGATTTAAACAACCCGTAGTTTGTTTTTATAGAAAGACAGTAATGGTTGTTGAGGATAATATTGGGACGCAGTCGTGGATATACTACTGTTTGGATTAATAATCCAAACATGTTAAAGTCGGGCCATGTACACAAAAAGTATAAAACTCGAGAAAATTTAAATTTGGTGACTAGGTGTGAACGTTAACATAATGGAGGAGCTACGTTGTCAGAGACGTTGTGGTTTTGAAAGTAATAGAATGCGTTCATCCATTTAAAGCAGTGCACTGCGCAGGAGGAAGGGTATGGTGGAGGTGAAAGGGAACATCTTTTATTAAATTTGGAAAGAATAATTGAATCGTGGTTTCTCTTTTGAGAATGATAATAACGCAGGACAAATATAAAGTAATTCATACGCAATGGTACGATGGTACGAACCACCTGACCACCAGGAACCACAAGACGACGATATCACAGATTACGGATACCAGATAGTTCACTCAGCTGTCGGCACTTTGAAGTCGGTGTCCCGAGATTTCAAGCGGTATTTACGCTACTACGCAAAATTGGTTCGCAAGCTTTGAATTTAAAAGCGCGGCCGTCAGAGAAAAATTACAGCGATGACGCAAGGGATGAGGTTCTGAGTGAAGAAAAAACGAACAAAATATTTATTTGCCTTACACAAAATGATTTATGATTATTACAAATGCTTAACATTTCACAATTTCCTCTGAAAAGAATTGCGGACATACGTATATCGGCATTAAAAAATTTTAGAACATAAAAAACACGTATTCTCGAATATAGTGCTAACAAGAAAGTGGTGTTAAAATTTTTGCATGGTGAATAAACGTAACCTCTTTAACTATACGGCTTAAAGGGTTACCGAAAGTTAGAAGAATTGGAGGGAATAGTTAATGAAATTTGCTGCGCTTGCCTTTCTGAACTTTGTTGTTACAGTTTTCTAATCTACTCGTCTTTATAGTGATCTTCGATTTTTGGTGGTTATTTAAGACTGAAATGAGTTTAAAGGAAAAGAAGGGAAAATGTTTTATTCTCTTATTAATTTACAAAATCAGGCATTATAGACAAGATATATTTACTAAACGATACTATAAAACAGTTTAATTCAGGTAGGTATTTATTTAACTAATTTTCTGATTATTTTAAAACTTTTAAAAAATCCCTTCGTAACCAAAAAACGTAGAAATTAATCCTTGTAATGTTATTTATTCCCTGAATTATTACCTAACCTTTATTCTTATATCTGCTTCATTGTTAATATTATTTTGCGTGTTAATTTGTCGAACCAGTTTCAAAGAGATTTATTAAACGTGCTGAACCAATTTTAGTGTCATGCGCACGGAAAATTTGCGGACAGTTACGCCCACAAGTGAACCATCTGGTATCCGTAATCTGTGACGATATCTTTGTAGTCACTTTCAACACAAAGGTGTTAAATTAGTTGCATAACTTTTAAACAAATGTTACCCAAAGCAACTTTGATCCTCTATTAATCGTAATTCGCAATCATAATAGTTAAGTTAGGAACAACACAAAAATCATACAAGTCATACAATGTCACAAATCACAACAAAGACGTCAAGCAACTAATATGGCAAAATTCAAACAAAATAGAACGTAATTTATTCGATCCTTAAAGGAATATAAATAAAATAAATAAATAGCTATCCTGAAATAAGTGCTCAACCTGCGCGCCTTATCTTTCTTCACACAGCGCTATATTGCAATCAAAATTTTTACGTAGTCTAATTGGAATCTCGGGTGCTGTATGAAGATCTGTACGACACCACGATCCTTTCGCGCAAATGATCTTCATTTTGAATTGGAATGGCTGAAATGGCATGGGTGAAATCGGTTTACCTCAGTGTGTTAAAAACCGAACTGCTGTTGACTCACGTGAAGATTATCTTCTATAATTTCAATCAGGGCAGCTTCATTTTCTGGCGTTTTTACCTGGCGTTTTTACTGTATGACGTTTAACTTCAGTTTTCTTAAATTGATCAGCTTTTCTTCGTTTTTTCTAGTTTTCTAAATGCTTGGTTAGAAGGAATTGTATCGGCTGGCATATAGACGAACGGCAGCATCGAAATTTCCATCATACTTTCCGAAAGCACATCGTTTTTTTCGGAATTTGAATACATTATTGTTAGTAAAATTTGAAAATAATTTGACTGTTAGAATTAATTTGTTATAATTTTGGCACAATTATTGCCATCTAAGTACATGTGATTTATTATTGACAAAAAATTAAGATGAAGTCGTTTATGGAAAGTAAAATGTGTTGCCTATTCTGACTTATCCAGGCATGAACAGATAAAATAATTACCCTGGATTTCCCAGCTGCAAAAAACCTCCCCATCTTTCAAAAATGAAACCACATGATACAAATGTTTTGATATCATAAATTAATTAAACCCACAAAAAAGAAGTCGTTATTAAAGTAGGGGTTATAATTAAAGTAACTAGTTAGAATCTATTTATTTGATGGTGGTATTCTAATACACAAGTTAAAATAATACGAGAGGGTGGTGGCAAATTTAAATATGAACAATTGTGCACGAAAAAACAAAATTAGATAAAAATAAACTAGCAGACTAGCAGAACACAGTACTTTAAGCAGCATGGTGATGTATATCAAATCACAGCACAGCACATTTGATTTATCTGTTAACCCCACAGCTTCGTCTTCAGTTGTACGTACTGTGTTACGATGTTCGGCGAATTAAATCGTCAACAATTTATTTCTTAACAACTAGAATTTACACGACGAACAGCGATAAAATAATTCCGGCGCAACTTCTCTTCACTGAACTAGCTGAATGATAATCCATTCCCGAAGGCGGCCTCTATTTAAACCCATATTTCGGCCATCGAGCTCTTTCTCGAATTGGGTATTCGCGACTTCCGCTTCCAGGCTTTTCGAGCGCCGTTTCGAGACTTTTTCTGGGCTCATTGCGAAATCCGCTTGCATCCGCGCGGCCGATGAATCATACTACATACGAGAAGAAACGCGTACTTAATAGAAGACCTATAGGCGTCGTACCGGGGCGGTGTATGGGTTCATTTCGTAACAGTACGATCTTCTGGTGTTGACTTTAGAAGTTTTATGGCGTTATTAAGTTATCTGAAATCGTGTTGGTTGTACAGTTTTAGATGTACTGCCCTCCGACAGCCTCCTGAGAAGGAGCATTGTCACGGCCAAAATGAAGAAGACACTTTCACATCACTAGGATATTATCTCGTAACCGTGCTTATAAACTTACGCAGTTTACCTGACGTTTCTAAACTTTGATTACTCGTTCGATTCGCTGTGGCGGCACAATAACACGTCGGTAAGCAGAGAAAGATAAGTGTCCTCGTGGTCTAGTGGTAAAGATACTTGCCCGGAAAAAAAAAGAGACGTGGGTTCGACTCTGTTTATTTCTACTGATACAAAAAAAAAATCACAAAAAACACCTGCTATTGTAAAATCATACACAATTCATTGAGACATTTTGTTGATCGATTACATCACTGCCAAATTGTAAACGCAGAACAATTTGAACATTTATTGTAGTCCCACTTATAGTTTATTATTTATTAGTTTTTGCAAAGATGGCGTGATTTTACAATATTCGATGCTTTTTTGTGAATTTTTTCTATTTTTTGTATCAGTAGAAATCACGGGTAGAAATAAACATGCTGATAATTTTGAAATTAGGTTTTTATTATGCATCAGAAAACGTCAGAAAAATCTAGGTGTTTCATTAAAAAAAAAGTAGGCGGCCTTGTGTGTCAAACCGAAAGCGATAAAAAAGGAAAAATATTGCAATCAAGTCGCCATGTTTAACTATATATCCACACCAAATTTCCAAAAAAAGCTTTTCAAATAACAAAGGTATTCAGTCATTCCGGGACTTTATACTAACCCTGTATTTTCTTTTCTGTCTTTATTTTTATGTTTTTAGGTTTATGATTTTCGGCAATTGGACGCTGTGTTCGTTGAAAATAAATCTATTATTATTATTGATTAGTGCATCATCGAAATAATCTTCTATAATAGCAAGTCTTCCAACGTATAAATAACATACTGTTACGAAATAAACCCATACGCCGCCCCGGTATGACGCCTATGGGCCGTCGAGAGCTTTCTGGTAGGTGCGGCGGTGATAGGTGAGTCATCATCGGTGACGAGCGGCGTTCCATAAAGACAAGTCTGGAGCGAGTTACCGGAAGGCCACCGGCGGGAACGAGGATTATTCAGTTAACAAGTCGAGTCCAGCGAGTGTCGAGAAAATCCAGACAAGTTGCACAGGAATTATTTTGTACATAATTGTTGTGTAATTAGTCGTGTGAATTTGAGTAACTAACTAAGAAATAAATTGTTGAGTTTAACCCACGTCGATTTTATTCACCGATCAACGTAACAATAAATTGTGAATGTCACTTTGGATACAGAGTACCTATATTTCCAAACGTATAAAATCTTGACATTAGGGTGTGAAAATGTTTTTCAACTTAACAGTAATATTGTACGGTTGTAGCTTTTGTATAATTGGCTAGCAGTAGCACCATTATTACAGTATTACCCATGTTAGTAGATATTGAGTTAAAGAAGAATGAACTCTAATTTGATAGTACTTAGGTAAGGTTCTTTTAACCAGTTTTATGGTTCCTGATGTGGCGTGTGGCCATCCCATAGGTACCTACACTATGGAAGCAGTCGGTGAGATTCTAAAACATTAATGACTCATATCGGTTTCACAGAACGAAGAAATTCGAAATTTCCAAGACAAAATTTTGTAGTTTTTGACATTGCTATCTTGTCGTCGAATACACTCAGTGGCACGAAAAACGGGC